TCGGTAATGGGGTAGTGTTTTGGTGACGGCAGTAGTGCTGCTGGTTTGTGCTCATGTTAACACCTCCTCAGGTCCAGGCGCACACGCCGCAGAGCGTGTTTGAGCTGCTGGAGTATGTGAAGCAGCTGCTGCTGTATGTCCAGGAGCGTGTGCTCGTCCCGTTGCTGCAGTATGTGAGCGCAGCGCTGCAGAGCGTCTGGAGGAGCCTGCAGGAGTCCTGCGAGTCAGTGACACACAACACCTCACAAACACACACAACAGCAGTCCAGCCTTCATGATGCACTGATTCACCTGCTTAGACTACGCCCTAAAACTCTGCACTCTTTTTGTGCATCGATCTAATCTAGCACTAGTAGTAGTAGACCATCTTTGCATACTCTTTTCAACATACTATGATTTGGAACATACTCATTCTATTTTTAAACACTGTTTAGGACGGATAGTGTGCAGCTGCAGTTCCTGCTGTTTCACCTTTAGAACCTCGATATGCAAATAAGCTCTGTTCTGATTGGCTGATGGCTTTGCATGTGAATGTGTTGGTGTTCTGTGTGTCTGTAGCGGCGAGGTGTCACTGCACTGCGTCCAGAAGCACCTGAGATCCTTCACCAACAGCACCTGGATCTACCTGCAGGACGCCACGTCCGCCGCCAAGAGCCGAGCGCAGGAGCTGCTGTCGCGAGCGTGATGCAAACAGACCCTTTCTCTCTTTCTTTGCTTTATTTTGTCAGTTTGCATGATTTTATATCTGTTGTGCTGACAGGTCTGTCTTTTATGCAGATGTTTTTCACGGTGTTCTTAGCTCTGTGTGGATCACTAATGACTACTGCTGCTGGCTGAGCTCTGTACTTGAACACTGAACATTATTAATGTGACTGAGCGCATGGATGATTTACTGTCCGTCATCAAACCCGAGCGGACGCCAGAATAACAGGGTTGCTATGGAAACCACATAGTTGAAACACAATGTATCGTTTGAAGCAGGCGTGTGTCCTGTAAGATGAGCTGATTTGTTACTTTGTAAATGATTTATAAATAAATAAACCAATGCTGTTCAGTCCTGCTCACTGCTTCTGTGTTGTTGTTTTTCAATATTCATCGTGTAATGAAACCCAAAGCCTTCTGTTTAAAACACACACACACACACACACATATATATATATATATAGACACAGTGGTGTGAAAAAGTGTATTTTTTTAATTTTTTGCATATTTGTCACACTTAAAAGATTCAGATCATCAAACAAATTTTTATGTTACACAAAGATAATGCAAGTAAATACAAAATGCAGTTTTTAAATAATGATTTTATTTATTAAGGGAAAAAAGCTGCCCAAACCTGCCTGGCCCTACGTGAAAAAGTAA